AAGCCATTAGGGATTTTTCACCTTCAGCTTTCCTATTCTCGGTTTAAAACTGTAGTTTTCAGTTCGTGGGTATGAAGTGAAGAAAGAGTCTTTTAATTTTATTCTCTTTTTTAAAAAAAAAATGTACTGTACCTTTAATTTCTCTGAAAGGTGTTGAGGCGCGCCTCACAGACGCCTCTCGCCACGTGAAAAGGCGAGCCGAGGCGACCTGAAGCGAGCGCCTCGCGAACAGGGTCACCTCAGGCAGTGGCGAGGCGATGTAGCCCTCGCCTCGGTCGCCTTGCCTCGAGGCGTCGCCATGGCGTCGCCATTTTAAACTATGTTAATTCTAAATTTGGTAGCAAAATATTAAAATGTGTAACGGTTAATGTTGGAACTTAAAGTTGATTTGCACATTCAGCGTTGTAACCGCTATATTTGGTTGCATTGTTGGAAGAAAAATATGATTGACACATTTTTTTCTTAAAATCAGAAAAATCAATAATTTTTTTTATTTATGTTAATTTTCTTAATTAATATATGCCACAAATATATAAATTATTTTATTCATGTTACTGATGTAAACGTTGCATGGTTAGAATAAAATTTAAATCTCAATCAATTTTGAATGATAAAAATAACTTAAGAAAAAGTAATAATTTTTATATTGATGGAAGTACATATCTAATTAATAAATACAAACAAAAACGTGTTTTATATTTGTGCAAATGCACAGGATCAAATACTAGTTTTTAGAATTTTCCCTCCGATAATGATTAAAAAAAATCATATACATATATAAATGATTTAATGATATTATTAAATATGTTGAGCCTTAAAATGAAATTAGTAATTAGTCAGTTAATTTTGTTGTAGAGGTTTTTATATAGTATTGAATTTTTATGATAGAAGATATTAACTCAAAATATTGCGTTTAATTTATTTGAAATCAATTAATCATTTACGATTTTTAATGTAACAATAATTAGGGTTGAGCATGGGATTCGAAGAATTCCGAACAGTTCTGAAAACCGAAAACCACTAAGAATCAAAAAGTAATTGTTGACCGTTTGAATTTCTCCAAGAACCGAAGCAGAGAAATAATTGGTACGGCTCTAGAGATTTCACAAATATCCGTACCGAGAACCGAATCGAACCGTCTTATACTGTACTGTACCGAACTGAAGAACCAAAATTAAGAACCGAATTATAACATTAGATATGTGTTCTTAATATATTTTATGTCAACTTTGATCCTATATAATTTGAGAATTTTTAAAATGCAAATAAATATAGTAATAACAATTAAGGTTCACTTAAATTTCATGTTTAGTAATGTTTGATCTACAATAAAATTTTCTCTATTATAAAAAAATTATTGAAAATAGTATGAAAGGTTAAAGAATATTTTTTTTTAAGAAATACTATATTATATTTAGTTTGAATTTTAATTAATCAATATTAGTTGCACAAATTTAGTCTTAACTAAAATTTAGATTTACTTCTAAAGTTGATTTCAAAATAAGATCTTGCATGAATGTTAGTTTTTTTAAAACCTATAAATATTAAATAACTAAAATTTAGAGTTACTTCTAAAATTGATTTCAAGATAAAATCTTCAATATGATAAAGTATTGATGATTTTTTTTTTTTTTAGCATATAAAGTTATAATATAACTAGGTAGTCATTCAAAAAATTTTGGAAAAATAAGTAATCTCCGAAGATTCGAACCAAACCATACCGAACCGAACTGTTCCGATAGTCCCGAATACCAAACCGAATCGTCTCATTTTTTGGTACGATTTCGGAGAATTCTAAATCTCCGAACCTACCGACTCATGCTCACCCTTAACAATAATAATGGATAGAAATCAAATTTTAAAAAGCAATGTAGTTAGATAAATTTAGACAACCAATTGCCTGTGATTTTTCTGAAAAGTTAACTAAATTTCACACGATTGTGTAGTGGGATTCAAATCTTTGTCTAATAAAATGATTTAAACAGTCCATATAAGTTAGATTTTTTCCAAATTTTGCAAGAAGGTATGAAAAATTTAATAAATTTTCACACGTCTAGTAGGGTTTTTCTACAAGTAAGATGTACTAATCCTAAAAAAAAACATTAGTTGAATAATATTATAGGTGAATTTTATGATAGAAAATTTCTAATTAGAGTATTAAATTTTATGATAAAAGATATCCTCAAGATATTGTGCTTGATTTTAAAAATAAACAAATAAATTTTTAATTTACAATTTTTAATGTATAAAAAATAATAGAAAAAATCTAACTTTTAAAAAGGTGGTGTTTTCGTGGAATTTTTCGCAAAAATCAACAAAATTTCAGTCGGGATTTTCCAAAATATTATCTAAAAAAATATTTTAAACAGTACATAAAAATTTGGGTTCTTCCAATTAGTAATTTGGATTCTTTCCAAACTGGTGTTGTAGATAAATAAATATGGACACCCATGTGATTTATTGGGAAAAAAAAATTGTTTAATCATTTGTACAGGTGGGATTTTTCAAAAAAAAAATAAATAAATAAATAAAATAAAAGAAAAGAAAAAAAATCATTCAATTATGAATTGCGATTTAAAATTCAGAACAAAAATTATCTATACGTTTACAATAATTAATTCTATATGCTACCAATAGCAATAAATTAATTACCATATACATTAAACAATTAATATGCACATCCCATAAATAAATATTAAGCATACTAAAATAAATAATAACAATAAGCATATGAAATTTATTATGTAATAATAAGTTTACGACGTAAAAATATTTACTTTGTTTCAAATTTTTAATTTTTAGTAACAGGTTGTCACATAAACTCAAAGAAATTAAATTTAAATTAATATTTTCTTACAAAATCAAATCCAATAGGTTTAGTATAATATATTAAAAAACATATGCAAATTATCGATATTATTATTATTATTATTATTATTATTATTATTATTATTATTATTATTATTATTATTATTATTATTATTATTATTATTATTATTATTATTATTATTATTATTATTACTATCGATTTATATTGGCTTTTCATTCAATGTATATTTGTATGTATAAGTGATTGCTAGCCATGATTTTCGGAATTACAGGAGTTCAAAATCATTTGAAGTTATTTGATATATATTTATTTTAGGAGTAGTAAAATAAATTTCCTATATTATCTCCATTATTGTAAACAAAATTAAAGAACATACTCCTTGAATTTCTTACAATTATGGTAACAAATCTCCATGCCGGGATTTTGAAAATTTTGATTTTTTTATGGTTAGATAAGTATGTAATAACTAATTACCTATTTAGATGGTATGACGTTAATGGGAATGATTTCCTAGATTTTGACAATGATTTTCAATTTAAAATTCAAAATATCATACATCCGCAATTCAAAAAAAAAAACTAAGAATAGTAACTTTAAAAATAAGCAGGAATTTTAATACAAATTCAAGTAAATCCCTCTTTCTGTTATAGATTTTTCAGGGAATTTAAATTCGCATAATTTAAAATATTAATATTAATTTATGCAGAAATGTAATATTTTCTAAATTATGAAATGTAAAATTATTGTATTACATTTAATTAGTATATTTATCTATATTTATTATTTTAAAAAACATAATAGCATTCAGTTCAAATCGAGAAATAATATTTTATAAAATGTCTTATAATTTATTTTATGTAATACTTGATTTCCATATTTCATCCAAAATTTATGGAAAAAACATATTAAATTGATTGTTTTATAGCTGAATTAAATTTTATTATTTTTATAAATTACTTTACACTAGTACAACAACCGTGTATTACACGGGTGCTTGCTAATTTTTTTTTCTTAAAATCTAGAATTAATGAGAAAAAGTAGTTTGAAAATTTAAATACATTTTATAAGTATATATATTATTATATATTTATTATGACACTTTTTATTTGTGCAGCTTACTTGTGTTATATTATACTATTTTTTTTTTTAACTTACAATATATAACTACATTACATATAAATATATCAATTGAGAAATAATTTTATTTTTCTAATGAATTTTAATAAATATTTTTATTTTTTATTATTATAAGGATAAATATAATTTATTTATTTAATATATACAATATGGATGTCAAATCGAAGATCATCAAAAGATGATTAATTTGATATATTATATATGTAAAACCGATAAGAAATACAAAAGATATCAACTTTTAAAATACATTTATAATTCAATAGCATATTGAAGAAAACAAATCAAAATTCGGGGATATATTAGTCACTTAGTGCCTCACTATGTAAAATTACAAAGAATTAAAGGGTTATATTAGTAAAAGTAAGATTAAAATACCTAAGTTAGCTAAATAATATTTATGGAATACCCGAACCTAGATTATTAATTATTAATATATCAATATTATTTATCCAAACCTAATTACAAAGCATGATTATTCGCCAAATAGGATTCCGAAGCACCAGAAGCAGCCATGTAGGCTCAGCGCATTCGGAAATTATATATAGGGAGGATTGTTATTTGATAAAGTTAGGTTTATTTATAAGATGGATGAAATTATTTTTTTATTGTATATCAACATGAATGTGAAATCGGATATTGTTAAAATATGATTATTTTGATATATATATATATATATAATAAAATATAAATAAAAAACTTATAAAGTTTAAAAAATAAAAAGAATACTAATTAATGATAATTAATATATGACTTAAATAAGATAAGATAAAAGTAGTATATGGTAACATAAGAAAAAAGGAACAGCTAAATAGTTTATGAAAATTCTCACGCCTAATATTCTAAACCAAACATGTATGCCAAATAAGCTTATGAAGCATACGAGCTTGCAATTAGACTCAGCGCATTCCGAAATTATATATAAGGGAGATTAACTCACTTTTACTCAAAATCCAATCGGAACCAATTTTGATTTATATCCAATCGCCCCCTTAGAGCTTTTGCTGAATCACTTCTTCTTCCCAATGATTCGTCCTCACTGCAATAGTTAGAACGAACAGTAAGTTGTGCAATAAATGAAGATTCGCCCTCACAACATTGCATCTCAATACAAGACGTGGAGAAAGTTGGACCATAATTGGAAGGGCAAGGACAATTTTGTACGAAAAACCCCGTTTATGCTGTTGTGATTCTATTTTGGTTGTATTCGTTTATTTGATATAATAACATGCCAAAATTACTAATAGAAATTAAGAGATGTTATACTTTTCATAGGAATAAATTCGAGCTACGCCAATTATATCTTGAGGATTTAAGGGAAAAAAAGGAGTGACAACCCTGTAGAGCATGATCTTGGCCCAAGTACAGCAAGTGAGAAGAACAAGCGACGGACGATTTTCGGGTTTAATTAGAGAGATCAACAGAAAGCCCAAAACCAAATGAAGAGAAAGCTTATAAACCAAATGTGGCCTTAAATATCCATCACATGTTCTAACCGAATCAAGATATATATATATATAGAGAGAGAGAGAGAGAGAGAGGGCGAGAGGGCCAGAGAGTTCAAAACATGATGAAAGTCGGCGGAGATTGGAAAAAGGAAAGCGAATCGGCCAATCGAAGCCTTCTTTCTAAGGAAAGAAAACCATGTCTAGTCACTGCTCATTGCAGATGAAAGCATCATGATTTTATGAGATCATCATATGCAGGTTAAAGCATGATCCGGAATATGAAATTTTAAATTGTAACTAAGGTCAGTATAAACTGATGGAAACAATGGAAATAACTGTTTAGATTTGGTGGATATATTCATATATGTATATATATTTCTATGATACAATGTCGTAATGTATGTATTAAATTCGAATTATGACAAGTTTTTCAACATCCGTGGCCAGAATAGGCATAGTTGAACCATATATATTTAAACAATTCTTTCTGAGAAATTCAAAAAAGATCAATTAAATGAGTAGCTGCGCTGGAAGATATCCTGAAAAGTGAACACCGGTTTTTTACTCTTTCGAGCATATAGTTTGAAGAGTCGGAACCAGCAGAGATTATCTATGTTTGCTCAGAGGTTTCTATGTGGTATTTTTTTATGCTTGGGCAATTTGACTATCTTTGGAAGGTCGTCCTGACAATTTTGGCAAGTGAATCTCTATTCCGATAAGTCGTAAGACTTGTTTGGTTCTCTAGCTCAACTTGCACCATCATCAAGAATGCCTGTGTAGCTAGTTTAGAACGATTCTATATTTAAATGCTAAGAAGTATGAGAACTATGCGGACCTTAAATGATTTAACTGACGCTTTTTTTAACACAATGGAAATCAGTTGAATTTTGTTTATTCATGTATTTCTTTGTTGGAAGAAGATCTTAAATTCTTAACAGAAAACGATATTTCCTAAAGTAAGCATAAAGCCCTCCTGACAGTTTTGTTCTCCCTAACTAAAATGTATTTTCGCCAAAAAAGTCCATGATAAAGTGCATTCTTACTCATGTATATATATACAAGTCTCAGCAATACAAAGCAAAGTGAAACCATAAATATAAGCAGAACTTCCATTAAACCTAATCCCAGAAAGAATATCATGTGGGAAAGGGGCATCAACAACACATTAACATCTAGAGTGAAACAAGAATGCTAAATAAAGAAGAAATTAATCACCAAAAAAAGGGGCTAGGGGCATCAATACATACCTTGATGCATAAACATCCTAGCTCGAGCTTCTTGACATATCGTATGTCCTCAAAAAGCTTCATCACGAGCTCACTGTCCGGGAGAGAGTCGTGAACATCCCCGGCGAAATTGATAAAAGCCGTAACAAGGGATGTCATGTTCCTCAGCCGCAACTTCATACCTACAGTATAAATTGAAATATCCAACGAGCGTACATACGGTGCCGAAATTTCCAGCAGTCTCACCTCTTCAGACTCGGCTACTGAAAGCTCGACAAGATTCTGAGAGCCAATATCCAAGGTCGAGTATCCCCAACACCCTCTTAGACCCAATCTACTCAAAACAGGACAAGCAGTTAATATCTTTTGAATGTCATCCTCGTCGAGAGACACATCCTCTATGAGCAGATCGGTTAAACCTTGCCAGTTGACCCTGCTCTTGGGAGCCACAATGCAGCCTTTCATCGACAGCCGAACAAGGGACGAACAGGAGCAAACCACCAGGGGAAGTACATAGAAATCTCTAAAAGAGTCAAGCTTCAGGGTGAGATGCTTCACCTTGTTCCTGACGGCAAATTCAACCCATGTATTGACGTCATAGGCAAAACTCTCGTCGTAGGAGAAGTCTATCCACAGTTCATCGAGGTGGTTCCCCGAGCGGAGAACGAGTGTCCTGTGGATACGTACCACGAGCTTGCGTATCTCCCTGAGCCTCGTGCTGCTCTCCTCGAACCTAAGGTTGGGCATATTGTGCCAGAGGTATTGCCACCTTTTGGAGAGGACGCTGGTGGTGGCGGCTCCCTTCATGCCGAGATGAGAGAGAATGCGGATTAGGAGGTCATCAGGAAGCCTACTCAGCCGGTCGATCGAGTTATCATCCCTAATTCGTTTGTTCAGTGAAAGCGACACCGCTAAAACGATGCTTTCCGGCGAAAAACTCTCTCCGTCTGTTGAATCATCTGCTGAGCTACATTCTCGGGCTTGTAACGCTTCCTCTTCTTCTTCTTCTTCTTCTTCGTCTCCTCTGCTATAATATTCCTCTCCGACGGTTGATTCTTCTTCTTCTTCTTCATCACCATCATCGTCTTCTTCTTCTTCTTCTTCTTCTTCTTCTTCTTCTTCTTCTTCTTCTTGGGTTTCAGTTGCTTCGTCTCCTCTGCTATTATCTTCTTCCACAGATTCTGGTCTGATTTCGTTCCCCATAGTAATTACTAATTAAAGAAATTAAATCGACAAGTGAGGCTTCGCTTGAGGAAATTCGGGATAGGTTCTGACCTTGCTGCCGCCGGTGGCGGAGGGGCACCGCCGCCGTTTCTTTTTTTATTTTATTTTCTGTGGTGTGTGTCAGTGTGTGTCGCTTCGATTTGGGATGAGAACAGAGAAAAATGGGAGAAAGTTGATGGCAAGGCTTTATTTTCACCCTACCGACCCATTAAAAATCTCGGCCCATTAATTTGTCCTAAATCAATTATTCAGTGGGAAATATTAATATAATTATGCAACCCGTGCGATGCACGGGCTGTATTTACTTTAGAGAATATTAAAACTTAAAATGTATTAATAAATAAAAGAGTGATAATTCGTAGAAAAATTATCAAACCATAAAATGTTCATCATGCAAAACAGAAATATATTATTTAAACTTTCTTGTACACAACATTATTTGTTCAATAACTGAACAACTCGCCATCCCCACATACTAATATTTTCAACACTTTTCTATTATTTACACGCGAAACAAACAGTATAATTGTCCGTGACTAAAAATCGATTTCTTTAAGAACATGTCCGTGACCTTGACTCTTCTTGACCTATTACTTACACGCGTAACAACATACAATAGGTCGTGATCAAAAAAAAATTTTTTTTAAGAACATTCCAATGCACATCTCTTATCTATTACTTACACGTAAAAACAACAACATATAATCGGTCGTTGCTAAGAACCGTTGACAACACACATAAAGACTGACCCTGATCTTAAATGAAACCCTAATATTAGAAGTAACTGGTGCTCTAGAACTTAAATGAAATCCTAAGATTGATCTTTTTATAATATGATAATTTACTTAGGCAGTCAGACAATGAAATGTTAGTTTAATACCGATTATACTTGATTAGCTATATAATATTCACTAATATTTTTATATTTTTTAAACAAAAAGATTGACCATGACTGTTAAATGGAACCCTAAAATCAGAAGGAGCTGGTGCCACTGGAACATAAATGGAAGTCTAACATGGATCTATTTATAATATGATAATTTATACAATAGTTGACAAATGAATTGGTGTACATCTACAAAAATATGTATGAATAATACAAAACATTTAATATTACATCACACTAATTTTATGAGAGAGATTATATATAGTAGATATAAAATATAAAACATTAGTGATTAGACATTACTTCAGGCTAATTTTTTCAAGCCGAACAATTTTTAGTTGAATGTTTGACAACTTGTTATATATTTTCAAATTGAACAATTTTTAATTGGACAGTTTTCCTATTATATGTGTGACAACTTTTTAGGCAGTATATTATATATATATATATATATATATATTTTGAAGTAAATTTATATTTTGTGTATACAAAAACAAAAAATCGATTTACTATACAAAAATTTTGAAAAAAATTTTCCTTTTAAAAACAATTGACAAAAAGAACCAGGGAATTGGTATATATCTCAAAAAAAAAAATGTATATATCTCATATAAAATCGTTCATTCTCCAAAACTGCTACAATGAAAAATATATTTAAATATTTATATGAATATATTTAGGACAAAGTCCACTTTTGGTCCTCCATGTTTAGGGGGTATCCAGACTGAGTCCCCATTATTTTTTGCTGCCCAATTTTAGTCCTTAAAACAAAAAAATATAGTCCCTATTATGTTTTGGTGCCCAATTTTAGTCCTTCAAACAAAAAAATGTAGTCCCTATTATGTTTTGGTGCCCAATTTTAGTCCTTCAAACAAAAAATGTAGTCCCTATTATGTTTTCGTGCCCAATTTTAGTCCTTAAAACAAATAAATATAGTCCCTATTATGTTTGGGTGCCCAATTTTAGTCCTAAAAATAAAAAAATGTAGTCCATATTATGTTTTGGTGCCCAATTTTAGTCCTAAAAACTAAAAAATGTAGTCCCTTAACCTCAATTTATGTGAATTAACGGTCCATTTTTGTTAATAACATTAAAGTAGTTGTGTGAAATAATTTAAAACATCGAAAAGATGTAATCAAATTTCAAAGGAACAAATTATTGACCTGATTATAAAAATCATGATACATTCATTGCATAATTATTAATTATTAAATATTAAATAATAAAATTATATATTTATATTACATACCCTGCACACAACAATCCATCCACTCGTCCGTGAGTGGGTCCGGCTCATTTTCTAGTGCCTTGCGCATTTCCCTGACGAGCCTCCTGGGTCGTCGTACGTCCGGCAGTTGGGGAACTGCTTGAAGAACTCGTTCGAGAGGTGGTTTCCGTAAATGACAATTTTTTCCATGGCCAGTGCCTCAATAATTTGTTCCTTTGAAATTTGATTACATCTTTTCGATGTTTTAAATTATTTTACACAACTACTTTGATGTTATTAACAAAAATGGACCGTTAATTCACATAAATTGAGGTTAAGGGACTACATTTTTTGGTTTTTAGGACTAAAATTGGGCACCAAAACATAATATGGACTACATTTTTTTATTTTTAGGACTAAAATTGGGCACCCAAACATAATAGGGACTACATTTTTTTGTTTTAAGGACTAAAATTGGGCAGCAAAAAATAATGGGGACTCAGTCTGGATACCCCCTAAACATGGAGGACCAAAAGTGGACTTTGTCCATATATTTAGATATTAATATAAATTTATATTTTGTAATTGTTGGTTCTAATAAATATGATAAAATAAAAAAAAAATCCTCACAAATGAGAATTCCAAAATTGACGCCATGTAAATTTAAATATTACTATAAAATTATTATTTTTTGTGTGTATGTAACATATATGCTAATCCAAATCAATGATTCTAATAAATCTGTTAAAATAAAAAAGAATCCCTGATAAATAAGAGTTCCAAAATCGGCTACATATAATTATTTACATAATCTTGCCTACAAAACCTGTAACGCCCAGGTTTTTATTTACTATTTATGGAGCTCGACTATATTTCCATAAATATTAAGTTTCTAAATTTGATGCATTATTTATATTTATTTGCATTAAATTAAATAATTAGAATTAAAGTCTAAGCCATTAATAATTCTTCCGACTTTAATTATTAAAGTTGGAATTTTACTTAAGTGATCCGAAGTCGGATAATTTGATTATTCGAGCCCAATTAATTTTGAAGCGAATCCAATAATTTCAGTCGGCCATTTTAATTCGAATAGTCGAATTAATTTTCAAGACCAAGCGATATATTAAATATCGAGCCCTCATAGTATTTAATTTCGGCCCAAGTCGAAATTATTACTACAAGCCGTCATTTTTTTTAATTAACCGACCAATTATTCTAGTAAATTGGATCGACTAATTTAATTAGCCCAAGTCCGGTTAATTTTATTAACCGAGCATTTAATTCTTTAATCGATATTCAATATAAAATTCGAGCCCAAGTCGAATTAAATTTAGTAGCCCGATTATTAAGCCCGACTTTATTAAATTGTCAAGCCCGATTTTAAAGCCCACTATACACAAGAAACCCTAAGCTTCTCCCATCTTCTATAAATAGCATATGTTCCCTTGTCACCCAACCCCCCAACATCAAGACACAAACCCTAGCCACCATAATCACTATTCATCATCTCCCTCACTACACCATCTCATTTTCAAGATCCAAGCTCTATCCTCCCCTTTTTCTTCAAGAACATCAAAGAAAACAACACTCCATGGCTTGAGCTTCATCCTCCTCCCGTTTTCCGGTGAGTTTTCCGGCGAACCCGCAGCTCGAGCTCCATTTCCGGCCATCTTCCCCGGCGAGCTCGCCACTGCCGCGTCCAGGCCTCAGCCCGACTCCCAGCAGCTCGTTTCCAGCTCGTCCACGCCCTTCCCAGCTCACTCGCGCCGGAAACCCGCAGCCCTCGTTCCCAGTTTTCCGGCGAGATTCAGCCCGCCTCTGTCGTCCACAGTTTTCAGTTCCGGCTCGCGACTCTAGTTCCGGCGAGCCTCCGCCTCCAGCTCCATTTTTCCGGTTCTGTTCGCAGCTCCTCCTCCTCGCGACCACCACGCGCCGCCGTCCTCAGCCGAGCTCCGCGACCAACAGCTCTTTCTCAGCCCGCTCGTTTTTCCGGCGACCAAGCTAAGCCCCGTCGCGACCAGCTTCAGCTCCGTCCAGTCCAAGCTCAAAGCTTGCGTCACAGGCCCGAAATCGCGACCCTATCAGCTCCTGTCCGCACCAGGCCGCAGCTCTGCCACCGACCTCCGTTTTCCGGCGAGTTTCAGCCGCCTCTATCCTCCACAGCCCCGATTCGCGACCAGCAGCGACCAACAGCTCCATTCTCAACCCTAGGTCCGACCAGCAGCTCCTTAGACCCATTTTCAACAAGCTTGAAGCCTCAAGATCCGACCCGGTTGCTCCGCCTCCTTATTTTCTTACCCGATCTATTTTCGGTCCTCCCGATCCGAGTCGTTTTGAGGTATAATTATTAACTCTCGGTTTTGACGGCTTAGACATAATATTTGAATTGACATAAAAGAATAAATTGGGAGATTTGAGCGATTTTGAATAAATCGGGATTTTCGGGCTTAAAGCTAAAATGTTCGACTTTTTGAATAAATGCGATAAAATGTTGAAATAAATACTATAAAATTTGTTACGTCATTTTGAGGCGTAGGATTGAATTTCATAATTTTCGGACTTGGTTTGGTAGGTAAACGAGCCGGTCAAATGCATTGACCGGTCGTAGTAAATTGGAGTTGACTGAGTTAGGAGTGGACTTTTGACTTGAGGAGTTGACCATAGACTATATATATATTTAGGATGTTATGTTTCGATTTTCGTAAATTTTGGATGTTGTTTGACTTAGTTATAAAAATCGAGACTTTAGATATTAATGTCGTATAAATAAAATAATAGTTTGACTGAGACTTTAGCTGCAGTTGTGGATTATAGATTTATTATAAATCACATAGAATATATATTAATTATCGGCCTTAAATGAGTTAAAATTCTTTGAGAATC